CAGTTGCTGTCGCTTACAGAAATGCCAATTTTTGCAAGCTGTGGAAACCCCGTGGGTATAGACCATTTCGCTTTCGCTTTTATGTCCACCCGTAGTTTCTTTCCCCGCAGAAAACGAGACCACTTTATGCGATACGAACTGTCTCACCACATGCCACCCCCTTGATGGATGAAACTCCATCCATAGATAGTAGGGATGCTTCGAAAATTTTTAACTGCTGTGCGAGTTTGTGATGGTAGAAGGGGAGTTGCAGCTCGTAGTAATGCGTCAGTTTTAGAACAGCCCTCATCCGGCTCAGGGTGATTTCTTGTCCCCTGGTCATGAAAGGCTGCTGTCACGCTGAAGGAATATGAAAGGCTGTATCAGAGACTACTCCCCAACCAAATTCAAAACCTATCCTCTAAACGGCTTTCATTTTAGGTGGAGTGATACTCTGGAAATATTTCGCAAAATCTGGGCCGATCTTCAATGGAGATGGGCAAGAAGAATATAAGAAAGAAGATGAGAAAGAATGAAGAAGAAGAAGATGAGAAGATGAGAAAGAAGAATATAAACAAACCAGAAGAAGATGAGCATTTCCATGACTTCGAGGTAAAAATACGTCTGCTATTGGTTATGAAAGGATGAAGAAGTGTACAACCGTTGTAGGATATTTTGCCAGCTTTTTCGGCTTGTAGGACATCTTGTAATAGATCTTGTAGTAGATTTCTTGAAAAGAGAGCACGCCCCGTGGGGGCGTTCCGTTTGCTCATGACAGCTAAATTAATTTGATCTTGAAAAGGGGGCAGCGCGTCTACTATGAATGGAGGCTGGCCTTCAAGGGAACGAGAGGTGGCGCTTTTGCGGCAAGGGAGCGCCCGCAACCACGTAACAGAGTTCCACCCGTCCTTTTGACGTACTCTTTCCTCTGGCAACCCTCCAGTGGGCCTTCCTTAGCCGCTGGACTGCGCCGTCGAATTTGAGCCTTTAGCGGAGAGCAGAGTATGTCCACGCTGTCAATTCCAACACGGATGAGACTCACTCAACCTAGAAAGCAATGGGAAAGCAAAAGCCTTTTTCTGATTTGTTGTCGTTTACCTCACTCTTTTCCCCCCTCGTATTCCTCTCAACATCTCCATGCTCCAGGAGACCGATTCATCGAACCATCTGCCTTTAACCCATATCTACCTGTGGTAAATTTTTGGTACATTGTTCTGGGACCTGCAATCAGAAGTTTAAAAACTTTTCTATGTTTGCTAGCGCAGCCAGTGGACAATGGAACTGTTCCGAATACACATGAAATACAGAATCAAGTGTAGATTACGATGAGCAACATAATTTTTTGAAAACGAGAATCGCATTTGAAAAATACGAATTTTTATAAGAAATGGCGCGTCAAAAGTTTGGAAACTTCTCAATTCCAAAGCGAATTCGGCAAAATAGCTCTCGAATCTATGATAAATTAGTTATTCGATGAGTAGCTGTGAATTTCTATGTCAGCGTCGTTTTATTGACATGGAGTTGATTATAAAATAATTTTAGGACTTTTAAGTCGAACCCTGCACACTGTGAACTAAATCACATTGTTTGGTGGGATTCTTAACTGGAATGTGGGTTGAGCGACATGCCAGTTCTTCCGTGGGATGTAGAACTCAATTAGACTTCAGATCTTGACTTGGTCGCTTCATAACAGCTTCTTTTTCTGGGTTTAGGAAGGCGGCAGTGAGGAGGTAGGCCTGCATTGGGTCATTTCCGCGATAGAAAACCCATCTTTTCGGCTAGTTCTGACTATCGAAGGGAAGCATTGTACTCTACAGACTATCCTTGTACATAAGTTTTAGGGAAAGAATTTCTGACACATATCATTACCTTAATTTTTTATCAACAAGAAAACATATTAGGAAACAAAGTAATCACCATCACGTTCTATCACTCTTCGCCATTTTTCGGGCAGACTTTTGATGCCTTCGGCAAAGAACTTTTCTGGCTTCGATTCAAAAAAGTTGCTCAACCAGCGATCTATATCATGTTCGTCATCAAACGTTTTTCCTTGCATGGCGTTGGACAGCGACAGGAAAAGGTGGTAGTCTGTCGGAGCAAGGTCCGGGCTGTACGGCGGGTGAGGCAACACCTCCCACCCAAAGTCGAGTAGCTTCTGGCGGGACACTCTTGCAGTGGACGGGCGTTGTCGTGCAAGAATCGGATCGTACCACTATTTGGACGCTTTTCTGCGATTTTGGCGGCCAGTCTATCCAGTTGCTCACAGTAGAGGTCTGCCGTAAGGGTAGCGTTGCGTGGGAGAAGCTCATAGTGGATGATACCTTTCCAGTCCCACCAAACACAGATCATAACCTTCAAAGGGTGAAGACCTGCCTTTGGCTGCGGCTCAGGTTGCTCATCCTTGTCAACCCAGTGTCGGCGGCGCTTGATATTGACGTACAGGCACCACTTCTCATCTCCTGTAACGATGGACTCCAACCAGTCATCCGTGCGCCTGTACGAGAGCAGCTGAGTAGCTACCTCGGCACGTCGCTGACGATCGCCTTCACTCAGGTGGTGAGGTACCCACTGTGGCAGCTTGTGTACTTTGCCCAGCCGTTGCAGATGATCGGCGACGGTAGTAGCCGATCATCTGCGACGGTAGTAGAGCGGGTCCACCGCCACCAACTGGCGCAAGCACCGATTGACTTCGTCTACGTCCCAATCGTGCAGAATCTTCCAGGCTGAAGTCTCCCTCACGGAAGCGTTTGAACCAATCCTGTGCAGTGCGTTCGGACACTGTGCCCTCTCCAAATGCAGCGTTGATGCGGCGACTGGATGAGGCTGCTGATTCGCCAAATTTGAAGTCATACAGCAGAAGACCACGAACGTACTGTTGCGAAAGTTCCATTTTGCAGAAATGATCTATGCTCGAGCTTACAGCTCATGATGACAGGTAACTTGCACAGACGTGTCCTCCTCATATATGCACAAGTCAAGTTGCTGGAAGGCATTGTACAGGTAAAAAAGGCGTGCTTCGAAAACCGCAAGGACTTTCCCTACAACTTAATTAGCCCAACCCACATTTCGCTGGATATTAGAACTGGGGAATCGCCGAATGGTCGGACACATCTTCATCCATGACAATACTTCCACTATTTCTGACTGTTGGAATCTATACTCAAAATGAGGTTTCCATTTGACAAAACACTTCACAGGGTCCACAACATCATTTCTAGGAAGACAGGAAATCCATTCGTCGCTGAGGACAAAGTTTCACCTCTCGCCTTCGGTCCATGTTAGCCGTTAGTGTGCGGAAGCCAGTTGGGCCATCCTGCTCTTGAAGCCCAACAATGGCTTCTTGTTGGGATATCATCCGTAATATTCACCAGGTCGCGGCCGATGTTGTGCTGCACTCGGACTTTCACATTCATTG